AGGGATCAACATTCCAGCTAAAATCAGAGTTTGTCCGACGGGATACAGAAACCAAGACCCAAGTAGGAGCTATTTTCACGAGACGCTCTTCAAACATAAAGATACAGGTAAAAAGTGAAAGGGTGGAGAAAGACGTGCTCTGCAAACACTGGTCATGCGGATTCCGCTCTGGCTTCTTAAAACACCCTCAATGAATGATCAGAGATGGGACAAGCGTGATGGGACAAGGGTTAAATCAGCAAGAAAACAGACACACCCTGAACGCGTGCACACTTCATAGCAGAGCTTCAGAAGTCAAGAAGCAAAAGCCAAGCACATTCACAATATCAGCTGTGGATTTCACAGTAACGGATGGAACAGAACAAGCCGGAAACGCACCAGTTTACGCAGCTGTGAGAAGTGCTGTCAGCGTCCCACCCCGCTGACACCGAGGCACGCCCTCCCCAAACCGCACCATCTACAGGTTTCCGGGATGCCAGGCTCACCACCGGCTTCGGTGTCCCCTGCAGAGCCTGCAGGTCGAGGGTCAGCAGGTCTCCCCCTTTGCATGCTGTCTGCTCCTGCAAGCAGGTCCCCGGCTTCAGGGCCCATGCAGGGGGGCGGCCCAGGAGCCAGTGTATTTCTCTTAGAATAAAATCGGTGCCCTGAGCTGAGCTGCAGGGATGAGCTGCTGGCCAGCGCTGGACAGGATGGCATCTCAGTGTGTGTGGTGTCCTGTGTGCCCAGCGACGGCTTGGCTGGGTGAATGACATCTGAGGAGCAGGGTTGCTCAGCATTGTTGACACCGCTGAGTGGAAACCGCACGGGCCCGAGCACCGGCGCAGAGCTGGGCTGAGGCAGGACGTGTGCTCCCAGGGGGCTCGGCCACACTGGGGGTCTCCCAGCACAGGCCCATCTGCTCAGCAGTGGCTGCACGACAAGGCATCCCACAGATCGGCCATTTAAGACAGCAGTGGGTGGCTCTGGTCATGGTCCGGCAGTGGGTGGCTCTGGTCATGGTCCGGCAGTGGGTCGGCTGCACTGAGCCCGTGAGCTCTGGCACGGGGCTTTGGCGAGGCTACTCTGGACGTCCTGGGCTGGCTCCCGCGGCCCGCGTGCCAGGGTGCGTCTCTCTCTGCAGGGTGCGGGTCCAGCTGGTGGCGGAGCTGCTGAGCAGCACGGCCTGTGTCCAGGGCAGGAGCCTCATGCAGAACCTGAATGGCAGGAAGTGGCTGCGCCTGGTGGCCGCCAAGGCCTTCGTGGAGGGTGTGAGGTGCTCCATGCGTCACTGCTCCTGGGGGTGGAGGGGGGCCCTGTGCACACGGGGCGTAAATGGCCCTGCGGTGCCATGAGATGAAAAGCGTGATGCCCAGAGGGACTGTCACTGAGGCCGGCCCCTCAGCGACCCCGTGACCAGGGTCGTCATCTGCGTTGGTGGGCGGTGGGCGGCTGGGGCGGTCCCGGCAGTCCTGTGAGGAGCTGTGCGGGGTCGGGTGG